TCAGAAGTCCTTCGAAAACTGCGTCCCAATCGGCTTCGACCAAGGTCCAGCCTTCAGCTCGAGCGTGGCGAAGGTCACCGCGGCTGACTGCGTTGCTCACGTTGGCTGAAGAAGTGACTCGTTGCCAAGCGGGGCGGAGTCGGATCTCCTCGATGTAGCGCCAACTGTGTTGGAGCAGTCTGTTGATCGAGTCATCCTTGCCAAAGCCCTTTGACAGAGCGTGGCGGGCTGGTTCATTGTCCACGAACATGATCACGTGCTGGTCGATGCGGTCATACAAGACGAGCAGCGGCAGGATTTGAGCCACGATTTCGAGCATGTAGATGTAGGCTCTGCGTCTTGCGAATTCCCGAACAAACCAGTGGGGAACTCGACCTGCGGCGTAAAAAGTCTGGCCGCGGGCAGTGGCCACGAAACCCCAACCGTTGCGAAGCGTCTCTGGTGGTGTCCTTCCCCACTGTGGTATGTCCTCGTCAGAAGGCTTCCAGTCCTTCTCGAAGAGGTTGAAGAAGGCGTCTGCGTAGATCACGGATCGGGGCTGTGCTCGGAACATCAACTGCCTCGGCGAGGCGTGATGTAGGCTCCAGCGAATGAGGCCGATGCCATGGCGAAGCTGGTCGTTCAATCTCCACTCGGCGTGGTCACGGCCGTGGCCTGTCTGTTTGGCTCGAGCGAAGAGTGGCTTCAAAGCTGCTGCGTGAGACCTGCCCATCAGGGCCTGGCAGAAGAACTGAAGCTTCCCCGCCAAACTCGACGCCTCGTGCGGTGGTAGTCTGTCGGCCGTGAGGACCGCCACCAGGTCTGCGTCAAGTCGTTGGCGACGCGAGGACGTGCCTTGCACCATGACGTAGTCTGCGTGCACTGAGATGTCCACACCTTGGATGACTTGCGAACGGTCCGGCGGCTGCTCCTTAGATTGCTTAAAAGAAAAACCTATTGCACGGCAAAGGCGTTTCGAGTACTCGAAGGAGGAGTGTGCGAGCTTGTCGTCCTCGCAGCTGCCAAAGTCGTCGACGAAGTGCAGGGCCGGCGTCAACAGACATGCCCGACAAAGCCATGACATGAGATCTGCGACGCGACAGTAAGACCACACTGACGCAACTGAACCAAACATCAAGACTGTGTGTCTCCATAAAGTGATGCCGTGTGGCGTGGGCAGCACCACCCAAGTATGGTCCGGGTCTTCCGCGGCTAGCTGGCGGTAGGCGGACTCGTGGTCAAGGCCCCATATCAGAAGCTTCGCCGAAGGGTCGACCTTTTTGATCGCGACCGCGAGGCGGACATATGCTGAGACATCGTGGTAAGGCGGCGTGTCGGAGACTCCCACTGTCGCATTTGCGAACGACCTCCTCCAGTCCTCAGCTCTGCGTACCTTCGGCTTGTTGTCGGAGCCCACCTGGTGCACTGCGAAGGCGAAGCAAGTCGGCTTGTGTGCTTCGGGGCCTGGTAGAAGTCTGCTCGTGTGTGTGTGTGCGTTGCGAGGGGAACCGCTGTCTTGGGCCAGGTAGTCGGACTTGTGAATGGGCCCTCCATGCGTCCGAGGCGAACGTCCTCCGCGATTTCGTTCGCCAACTGTTCCCAACACGGGTCGACTCTCCGAAGTTTGTCGCACACGTAGCGTTCGTTCTTGTCGATGAAGTCGTCAAACTGCAACGGGTTGGCGTAGCGGAGATCATTGCGTTTGCGCCAACCGAGTCCTGGGGTTATCGGCCCCAGGAGCCGAAAACCTCGAGTGAGCTCCTCGAAGATGTCGGGGTCTTGCCAGCCGAACCTTTCGCATATGATGCGTAGAACCGGTAGCTGTAGCGAACATGTTCGTTGTTGGCTGAAGTACGCTTTCTGGACGTGGGGCTTCAGCGAGGAGAACCATTGGGCTGTCGTTTCGCTCATGTCGACGACCATCTCCTCGACCTGCTCGACAACTGCGTGTCTTAGGTCGGGTAGGTGCGGGCGCATCCGTCTCCAAATTTCCAACCATTGTTCAAGACCAGGCTCTAGGGCGGCGTCGCGGAAGTCGGGATGTGGCATGATGCGCGACCGCTCCCAGTGTTCTGTTGGATCGTCCAGGTAGGAGAGGTCGAAGTCGTCGTAGTCGCCTGGGCCGGGGCCCATGAGCGGGGGCTTGCCCTGCCACAGCGAAGCCGTGATGTCAATCGCGGTGCCGCCTAGAGGCCTAGAGGGTTCAGCTCTGCAGAAGGGGTCGGCACTGTAGCGGCGAAGACAGCCATGGTGAAGATGAGGCGAGCGGCTCCTGCATGCCATCCGTTCGCCAAGGCCTTGTGTCGAGCGTGGTCATGTAGGTCTCGTGTCCATCCAACAGGCAGGTGGTGGAATTGTTCCTTGACGGAGGCGGGCGGTATGACGCATCGGCCTTGTCCATCTGTCATCATGACCCCCGACTCGTAGTGCCACGGGGCGTACTTCTTCTTGTCAGCCATCCAGCGTTGCGTGGCGTCGCTGCTGATCTTCCCTTTGGCACTCCGTGGTGCCGGGCGACCGCTGGGGTCATCTGAGGGCGTAGTCAGGCAGGGGAGCGGCTTCATCTCCTCGGTTAGACAGCGTGGAAGGGTGAGGCCTTGGGTGTCCCACGTCTGTGTGTCGTCCTTGGGGACATCGAAGTGAACTCTGGGTATCCCCTGCACGCTGGTCCAGCGTAGCGAAAAAGGGCAGTCTTTGCGATGAGCCACTTCGGACCAGGGTATCCGACACCACCAGACTCTCGGTCTGGAGATAGTGCCGAAGTCGGCTGAGTCGTGCACGACCGCGGGCGCGTCGAGAAGCTTCTCGATCTTGCGCATGTCGGCGCGGTTCTGGGGGATCACGTTCTCCACGAGAAGGGTGGCTCGGCTGCGGTTCCATGACTTCTCCAGGTTCACGATAAGCTGGGCGAAGCGTGTGAACTTGGAACCCTCGGTGCCTTCATGTCCTGGTGCGTCTTGTCGTACGCGTGAAAAATCATGACACGGAGGTCCGGCGGCGATGATCACCTGGGCTGAGCGAGACGGGTCTAGCTGTTGCACAAGTTTTGACAGCGAGTCTGCGGTCTCCTCCTCAAAGTCGCCGCGGGTCACGACGTCGGGGAAGTGCTTGACTCCGAGCTTCACGAGGTCCTCGTCGATTTCCCAAGAAGCTCCTCGCCAACTGAGTCCCTTCTCCTTGCAATGGTTGTCACACACGAGGAAGGCGGTCCCGAGGCCGTCGAAGAAGCTAAGGACCACGAAGTCGATGGCAGCGATCTTCTGGTCCCTCTTTGTGACCTGTTGGTGACTTAACAGCTTGGCCTTGGCGCGTGGTTCGGTAGCTGGGGGCGTAGTGCGATGTCGTGGCAAAGGTGACCGAGAGCGTGCGAAAGATGTCGAGTCGGATTCTTTCACATGGTCGGGTCCACCCCCAGGGGATGGCCCGTGCTGTCCCTATTCCTGGTCGCGATGCTCGCGGCGTGTGGAGTCGTTGCGGTTCCACGACCTCCATTGACGTTGGTCGGAGCCACGACCGCGATCATCATCCCGTCGACGCCACTGATCTCGATCATCCTCGTTCTGTCGTTGATAGCGTTGCTGTCGCCACTGCTGCTGTCCGCGGCCACGACCGCGTCCCCACCCTTTCCCGTTGCCTTTGCTGGGGCGGTAGGGCTGCCATTCCCTGCCTTGTTGTTGGCCTTTTCCTCCGCGTCCTTCTCGTCGATCTTGCCAAGGCTGCTCGAAGCTCCGCGGCGCCTTCGTGGGTCGTTCCACAGCGACCTCTCTGCTCATCGTCTCCTGAAGTGACTGGCTGTCGATCATGATCTCGGAGGCGACGTCGTGGAAGGGAGTGCTCTTCCGGAGCGCGAGAGCTATGCGCCACGAGGTGTTCTCCCAGTGTATCTTGAGCTGCTCGATCTTGTTCGGGCGGCTGCGCACCAATCGCTGCCACCACTCGAAGTACTTGTCAAGCTCGTGCTCCGGGGCGTACTCCACGAAGATGAGAGCCATGTGGATCGCCTGCAGACAGTCGAGGAGTGCTGTCTGCGATTGCGGGCGCCATCGGTCCTCGGGCTCGGCCTCTAGTTGCAAGTCGGCGTTGAGGACGAGCGTGGTCACCTCGTTGCTGCGCGAGCGCTTCTTGGCTGTGCTGAGGTTGTTGGGCTCGCCGGAGGCTTTGAAGTGGCGAGTCTGGACGATCTCCTCTAGGGGTATGGCGTTGTGCTGTAAGCTCTTCGCGTCGGATACGACGCGAGCCAAAGTGGCCTCCGCGCCAAGGAGCAATGTTTCTGGGAATCTCCTTGCTATGCCCTTGATCGTCACGGACTCGAACTTCTTGACTTGTGCCTGCCAATAGCCAGCGGGAAGTTCCTTCTTAGAGGAGGAGGCGGAAGCGGTGCTGCCTGTTGTCGTTGCGGCTGGCGCTGCCGAAGGTGTGGCCGAAGAGGCATCTCGGCACTTCTTCCACACGTGGCGCAGGCGAGCGCGAGTCACCGGAAAGTCGGTGGACAGCACCTCTATGATGTTGCCATCGCTGAGCTTGTAGGGCTTGCGAAGGGGTTCCACCACGGCTTCGTCGAACTCCTGGATCGTTTCTCCTAGCTCCGCGAAGACCCCGACGGAGGAGATGCCAAGGTCTTCGATGTACTTCCGAAGCTCTTCCCCTGCGCCAGCTGCCGAGACGATGGCCTTCAGGGCGGGATCCATCGAGGCTTAGTAGGGGAAGCTATGGGCAGATGCGAAAAGGGCTGCGGGCAACTATGGCGCATGTTTCACTGATCTAGCACTGACCGAGGCAGTCCCTATGTAAAGTGTCGCGTGCTTCTTTTGTCGCAGCGGAGGCTGCGGTGCGCACAATCAAGTAACAGCGGAGGCTGTCCTTAGCTTGAAGAGGAACAGCTGGCGCTGTCCGTTGACTCGGTCTCCGATCCTGTCTTGGCAGCCGTCTGCGGCGGGGCGGCTGATCCTTGGGCCGATTCCGGGAAACATTTCTTGCACAACACGTGCGACCCGTCATCAACTGCCCGGGTAAAGCGTAAGTAGCCATAGGCCCACCCACAGCGGGCCCTCCAACGAATCGGGGGCCTTGTGGCTTCCTCTGCGTCGCGAGCGCGGGCTTTCTTCTTGACGATGAGGTCGGGCCGCTCCTGATCATGCTCCAGACGGTCTGCTATGGCATCCAGCTGCCCCATGAGCTTAGAGACTGCAACGTCGTTCTGCGCTGCGTTCACTCTGGGCTTCTTGGCTGTCGGCGCGGCGCTGTCCGAGGCGGCGCTCTGCTCCTCCGGCACCAGGGTCCACTTTGCGCGGTCGGGGGAGTCGCTCTGTGTCTCGGAGCTCCGGGCTTCTGCGACAGAAGGTCTCTTGGTGCCAATCATCACGATGTCCTCCAACTCGGTGTCCTGTACATAGCGTTCGATGGCGCGGCTCCCCCATCTGCCCAGCAGCATGATCGTCGACACTGGGATGCGCATGCGGCACAGGTGTTGTGCCCCTGACAAGCGTAAGCAGTGTCCCCCGAAGCGATTGACCTCGGCTTCGTCAGCTGCTCCGGGGCGATGCAATGCGATGCCCGCTGCATGCGGTGAGTACCTCGTGGATCATCTCGATGGTCCGGGCTTTGCTGAGCGGCTCGTCTGGGATATCGGAGAAGAGGAAGTCGTCAGGGCCGCCATGGATCTCGTCCGCTATGCGAAGCGCTGCGTGGTAAGGGCACAAAGTCTCCGGGACGATGCCGCAGTAGCAAGAGTGCTTGCGCTGCACTAGGTGGCCCACCGTGTCGGTCTTGCTGGCGGCGAGCGTGAGCGTCACTTGTTTCGTCTCCGCGTCGATGACCATGTGTTTGACTCGCAGGCCGGCGAGCTCAATCTCACGGCAGAGGAACCATGTCCCCAAGACCACCATGCCGTGGGCGAAGGCGGTGTGCTTGGGGACCCCTTCAATGTCGAGCGCGTCGAGGCGGAAGGCATCCTTGACGGCCGTGGCCCCCATCCCTCGCTCAATGGAGCGGATGGCGTCTCGTATCGCCATCTCGACCGTCGCCGGGACGGGCATGCCAGTGACCTTGATGTGCTCCTTTCGGGCTCGAGAGAAGTACTGTGCGGAGCTCCGATATCCACCGAAGCGGAAACTGGTACCAAACAGTTCGATCAGCTCCGGGGTCAGGGGAGTTGGTGCTCTGCTCCACGAGGCGCAGATCTTGGCCCATGTCGTCCAACGAGCATCAAGAGGAGCCCGAGCGGAGCGGGCGTAAATATTGTCTCGGAAGTCCTGCAAGGCCCTCTCGGCGTTGGCTGGCTTGGCCGCTGCAATGGCGCGAGAGAGCAGACCTCCTGCCGATGTGCGGATCTGAGGCAGATCACGCCGTGTCTGCGGCGATGCCGGCTGGGCGGTCTGTGGTTCCTTGTAGCCAGAGTAAAGCAAAATCGTCTCGATGTGAGAGGCGAGCTCGGGCGAGACCTGGGGCTGGACTTGCGCGGCGTGCTGTATGTTCTCGATCAGCTCATCGCTTAGCTTAGCATATTGACCACATCATCGCCCAACCCCGCGTCTGCGCACACGCGAAAAAGGGCGTCGAAACATGTGAAGTCGTAGCGCGACATGGCGTTGCGGGCTGCAAACACTAAGCTGCAAAAACTGCCGAACCTCGAGAGGAGCACTGCGGCCTGCAGCTGATCTTGCGTGTGGTAGTCGACTGCGTACCTGCGGGGCGATGGCAATTCACTGTGCATGAAGATACGTGTCAAACATTGGCAAGACGGTCACACAACTGCAAGCAAAGTTCTACGACGAGCGAAGCGAGGCGCGAACGAGTCACTCTTGCAAAGCACTGCACTTCCTAAGCACTGGTGGTCATGCGAAGCGTGCGGCACATGAACAAACTGCACAGCAACTGGAACATGTAAACGAATGACAAGTGCATGCGAAGCGAGGCGCAAAACAAGACCCTTGCAGACACTCCCAGTCCCAAGTCCCGGAGAGAGAGAGAGAGAGAGAGAGAGAGAGAGAGAGAGGCGAGGCCTAATGAGCGAGAGGAGGCACTCCTGTCAGCCGACTTCAGCGAGAAGAGAGATAGAGCGAGGTCGAGACCTAATGCGCGAGGCGAGTAACAGCTCTCACTCACTCCTGTGGGTCGGAGGGGGGAGAGCGGGGTCGATCACTTCACTCGGTCCCTTCTTTTTGCACCAGCGCTCTGCGAGGCGAGGAAGATCGAAAAGACATGTGGCACCCGGACACTGATATCAGCGTGTCCTGGCGGTGCGTGCCCTATCGCACGGCGAGCAGAAGTGGTGCTTGTGTACAGTGCCACTGCTCGTGCGTATGATGGGCCTGAAACAGCGGCCTAAGCACACGTCAGTGCGGTGCCTCTTCGGTGTTTCACAACCGAGGTTGCAAAAGCCGTGCACTCGCGAGTCGGCGTAGCGCGAAGGCACAGGCTGTTCGGGAACACCTGGCGGAAGCGACCATATTGTGCTCGTCTCATTCGGGAGCACGTTGCATGGGTCGGGCTCATCCGCCCAGCGGGCCTCTGCGTCCACCTCGCGCTGTCTGCGAGCAGCTCGTCGCGCTTCGCGTGCCACCTGGTCTTGTGGTGGCCAGCTGCTCTGCGGGGCGGGTGCGACGGGCGGGTCCTGCACTGGAGCTGTCTGCCCACCTGCGGTGTCACCTGCTGCTGCTGCGTCCCCCGCTGCGTCCTGCTGACCCTGCTCCGTGTCGCCCACTGTGGCTGCTGACGAGGCAGCAGCTCCAGAGTCCCACGGCGGTGTGGCAGGCGCGGTGCACAGAACGGACCTCTGTACGATGCGAGGCGGGCCCTGGTCGTCTCCATCGTCGTCGTCCCCTTGGTCCTGCTCCGCGGGGTCGTCCATGGGGTCCTCCTCGGTCTCCGTGTCGAGGTCGATCAGCTGGTCGTTGTCTGCTCCGCCGTCTTCAGAGCTGGCAAGGGATGAGCCCGGCACGGGTGGCAGGATGTGCTGCGGAGCGGGCGCAGCTTGCATGTGGAACTCCAGGTCGGGCGCGATCATGTCCAGGTAGTCCCTGTAGCCGACATCGGGGCGAGGCGGAGCTGCGTGGACCTGCGGCTCCTCCTTGGGCGCCTCCGTCTGGTAAACCATGAGGTCGACGTCGGCCGCCACCGAGTCGATGAAGGGCTCCGTGAAGACTGCCGCCAAGGGGTCGACTGGCTGTATGACCGGCGGGCGCTTCACCACGGGCTGTGCGGTCTTCTTGGCGGCCGCCTGTGTCGGCTTGTTGGCTGGCTTCGCCTGCGTGGCGGCGCGCGGCGGTGCCGCCTTGGGAGGAGGGAGTGGCGGGTCCTCCTTCGGCACCGGGCTTGTCTGTCCACCACTTGTCGACGAAGCCGCGGGTCGACTCGGCAAAGGCGGCGGCGCGGGAGCCTGTTGTCCACCACTCGAAGAGGAAGCACCTGGTCGTGTAGCCGGCGGCGGCGGCGTGGTACTCGGCTTCGGCAATGTAGCGGCAGCGCCCTTGCCGTCCCCTTTGACCGCCGTCTTGCTGGTGACCGTCGGCGGCTGCATGACGACGCCCTGTGCTGTCATGTGGGCCTTGGCGAAGTTGAGAGCTGCGTCCCTCGTCGCGATGCGCTGGCGATATTGACCGTCCAGCGACAACAGAGCGTCGTGGCCGATGCCCAGCATGCGTCTGCACTGCGATGCGCCCGACGCTCTCATCAGCACTCTGATGTCGTCATCAGAGAGCTCCTCCATGCTGCGAAAATTTTCGCTGGCCTTCTTGAAGAGCTCCAGCTTTTGCGTCGCGGAGGAGGGGAAAGCGGGCGCGGGTGCATCAGCCATGGCGCAGCGATGCGGAGCGGCTAGTCTGAAAAGCTTTGTCACTTCGAGCGATCAGCAGCTGCGGAGCGCAGTCCTTGCTGCTGACGCTCGTACATGTCACTCCGTGCAACAAGTTGCACTACACAACAACAAACACAAAAACTGTCGCCTTGCTCGTTTCGAATTACGGGCTTGAGGGCTTAATGTTTCTGGGTATTGGGTTTAGGGTTTATATAGTGTGTCTTGAGTGTGATTCGGGTTCTGGGGTTTTCGAGTTTTCGAGAAATTGAGCATAGAGGTTGGGGTGTAAGTGTCAAACTGTTGAATTGAGGGCTGTTGGATTTAGTGCAGGTTTCAAGCTTCGTTCATGTTCTTCTTCGTTCATGTTCCTTCTTTTCCTTCATTCGACGCCGTCGGGCTACCAAAAAAACATAGGGAAACAAAAAAAAAACAAACCCGAAACACAGCTGCCCTCCGTTTTCCGAGCTCACCTGCAATGGATGAAGCGGCCAGCGGAAGCCATGGATTCGCAGTTCCTCCAACTTTCAGTCAAACCCCGCATCGGCTGTCCCTGCCGCAAGTGTTTCGAAGCTCATGAACGGAAAGTCCTCGACACTCTCAGCCATCACGATTCGTCACCTGGGCTACGTAGCGATTGCCAAATCTCTGAGCAGCTTCGCTCTCTCAGCTTCTGGCGCTCTGAAAGGAAGGCGTTCTGCTGCAGCCATTGCTGGCTAAAGAAAGTCAGCGCATTCGTGCTATACTTCCTGCTTCTACTTACATCCAAAAGACATGCGCGATTGTATGACTTGAGCAACGGCCTCGCTGTAATATCAGAAAGTTCGGGGCCAGCATGCTTGGTGTGAAATGCTCTCCTTTTCATGCTGAGCCACGAACCGCACAGTCAGCTGTCGACAACGTCCCTTCTCTTGTTGCGACAACTTGTAGGATGATGAACATCTCAGCAACATGCAGGTAAAGACACGGAACGTGTCAATGCGCGTCAAACCTATCATGCTCCTGCAATGAGGCTCGCGTTAGCGCATCTTTCTCCAGCTGATGTGTCAAGGCAAACGGCCCGCATCATCCGTGAAGACTCTGGACGCTTAAACCCACACTAGAACTACGGGCAAAAAAGCGAAGCGACGCAAAGCTTGCTGCGGCCCATGGAGGCGGGCTCGGCCACGAGACGATCAGAATCTGCCGTCTGCATCTCCAGCATCGCGCTAGGCAGGGTAGCCACGAGCTCCAAGCGGAGACGGAGGCGTCTGAGTTGCAGCTGGGCTGCAACGGATGTCGGACTGCCACTCTGACTTAGCTGAGACAGGAGCTGTCAACGACCGTCTTGAGGCGGATCCTGACCAGACCAAAACCCGCCAAAAACAAAAACACATCAACGCCGCCATGACTGCGCCTCTGTCTTGCCCTGTGCTTTGAGGCATGGCACTCCTCCGCACCAGCGGCACAAGCACAGCAGAACAAAATCCTTCCGCACCGCCAGCATCTTCCAGACAGCGGCGCGCTGGAAGCAGAAACGTCCGAAACTCAGAGAGCCGAAGACCCCTTAAACCGAGGAGATTGTTCCTGATTACTGCCACGTGTTCGAGGAGTATGTACCAGCCCTGGTCAGCGCAGCAATCGGAAGCAACAGTGTTAGATCGTCCTTGCTGCAGAAGCATATACATCATCTGGTGGGGCATTGTCGTCGGAGCCTGCACACCAATCAAGCTTCCAGATTGCTGATCAGAGAATCCGCCTTCTTCGCTGAAGTCCCACTTCTCATCAACTGGTTGCACCTTGTTTCTCAGGAAGGATACAAGCTCCGTGCCTTCCCCAAGGTCCTGTAAGAAAAGCACGTTCTTGATGCCAACCCAACCGCAGATATCCTGATCGTAGAGATCCTTTCCCATGACCTGCAGCACACAACATCTGCACACCGGAGTGTCAGCAGGGTATTGCGGACCCAGACCTTCGCGAAATTCCCGAATAAGCTTCTTTGCTGCACACCTCATCAAAAGTTTGACAAGACTGACCGGATCGCACACTAGGTTTCAGCACGAAGTACCGAGTCAAAAGCGTGTCTCAGACTTGATCTCCCCAACCTTGCCAGAGATAGCACTGTACGAGCAGAACCCCCATGTACTCTCCGGAAAGCAGGGAAAGCAGCCTGAGGCTGCGACAAGTGATCGGGCGTGTTCGCTGGGATGATCGAAGACACGAATGGTCGCATGCCCCTCGCGCTGGCACAGTTGGACCTGTGCAGGATCCGTCGCCCTTCAAGCGACCTGAACTGCTTGCTCCGTTTGCAGCCCCTTTGTGCGGTGGCTGCGGCTCTCACCATGAAGAAGCCGGGGAATCACAAACTCAACCGCATGCAAACACCAGCCAATAATGGGAAAATCACATTCGTTGGACGACAAATACCTGCAATACTGCAACTGCATGCATCTGCCTGAATCATGCAGTGGACAAGTCCAACTGTCAGTAGGATGGAATGCACGAAGCATTCCATTCGTGACTGAAGCGTCGAGAACAAAGCGAGGGCGTGCAAGTCTGCTAAGGCGAAACCGAGGCATGGGGACAGCAGGAGTGTAGAACTTGACTCATCCGGGCTAGTCGAGCATATGAAGTCTTCTCGAAGCATCTTCACAACCGCTTAAACCCCCAACGGTAAGCGACCTAACCTCAGAGTCGGCCACGTTATGTCTTATGGTTTGTTGCCAAACTACCGCAAAACACCTTCAATGTTCAATACCCCGGCTTCTTCTGAGGAGAGAGGGCCAGCAACTTTGCTGTGTGACTTGGACATCTGGCCGAGCGCAAGGGGGTGGGATTGGTGTGTTTCCTGCTGACTGAGTGAACCAAGCTGCTCTGCAGATGGGCAGACACCAGCTTCGTTTTCGACTGTCTCAAACGGAGCATTTCAGTTCGGCAGGACTAATTGGAGCGACATGTATACGTGTTCAGATGCTCCGCTGCATTACACCCCGCCTCTCTTCCGGCCGGAAACAAATGGTACAGGAGCGCAGCTCGAACACCTGAGACATGCGAAGAAGCTTTGGAAACAGAGGCAACACAACTGCAGCCGGGATTATCTGACCAGTCACATTACGCAGACCCGTCTAAGCTTTGCGAAGCAACACATTGCTCTCGATAGCCATTGCAGCTCGAACCCTGTCAGAATGCTCAGCATGGGATCCGGACGGCCTTTGAGCCTGGGGCTCAGTCTCACAAGTCGAGAGTCGAGGATCGGACCAATTTCTGCATATGGATCCCAACGCTGCACTTCGAAAAGGCGGGAGCGCCTGGACTGCACAGCCATCACGAGCTGGCTGAAGACAATTCACTAAGCCGTGGCACCCCCATTCATCGCCGGCAACGGCTTGCCTCGCTTTCATTTCTTTCCACTGACAAACGGGTTTTCCAGTCACAGAAGCCCGAGCGCCCTTATTTAGTCTACTCTCGTCCAAGCCATCGGCCATCCATACAAGGCTCCAGCCATCTGCCTGCAAGAAGTAAATGCACAAAATGACTTCACACGCTGCAAACAATCACGATCGTGGGCTTCTTTGAGCAACCCGCCCAGCAACCGCACCCGTGGTGTCTGCCTTCGGGTCTCACGGCCAACACACCATGAAACACGTACGTCAAATTGGCTGCAGTTGGGACACGTCCCCAAGCAGATTCACGACTCGCAGAATGCAGCTGGAGAAGCCTTGGAAACTTCGACTGCATGACTGCACCACCAGGTCCACGCAGCTTGTGGGCATGCACAACCCAGCTCAGCAGTTGTCCAAGCCGGTGGCACTTGAACTGCTCTTGTGGCAGTTTGGCGGACCCTAATCCAGAAAACTATAGGGAAGGCATTTTGCCACTCGTTCAGACGTTTTAGTCTGCTTGCACACCGTGCCCTGTTGCACAGAAGGTTGCATCTCATTTCACCACTCGGAACTCAAACTGGACCTCAAGGGAGGCATCGAAACGACGCGGCTTCGAGCAATGCGCGTCGAGGCCCGAGCATCAGCGACTGTGGCGGTGTCACCGTTCTCGCTGCACTCCATCCAGCCATCGGGATCCGACAGGTCTACGTTCCTGAGCAGGCTCTGCAGTCCCTTTGCTCTGAGCATCTGTGCTTGCCGTTGCAGCATGTGCAGCGCATCATTCGAGGTCCGAGGCTCTCAAACTTGCCCCAACTTGTTTCCACAGTGACTCCCAGAGGATACCACTTTACTGGCTCAGCTCCTCGACAGTCGAAGATTGCCACCTGGGACAAAGACAATACAGCACTGCGAAACGGCCCGGAACCCCATCGAAAACAGCCAAGAAGCTGGTTGCATCACACCTCCCTCCGAATACTCCCCAAGAGTCTTATCCTTCACATCCTTATCTTTGATTGGCGTAGATCTGGAAGGCGTCATCACCTGGGCTGTGATCTGTCAGTAAACACGTTGCACGATTATCTGGTGACAGTCTGTTTTGCTAAGGCTGGGACGCTGATTGACGATGGAGCCTGCGAGAGCTACTAGAACGGAGCCCCGCTCGAATGGGAAACAGACTCCAGACGCTCCAGCCTTGGCACCCTCCCACTTGATCAGGAAGTTAGCAGTCCCTTTGCTGTTGGGGATCTCCTCCTGCGAAAGGAAACCCAAGGCACAAAACAGATGGGTAGATCCTTTGCCGCCGCAGGCATCCTCGTTGGTGGGGTCAATGGTGATGCCCTCTCGGATTTCCTTGCAAGCTGACTTCGGATGGCAATGACATGCGCTTCTCGGGACTCTCGACTGTCTCAAAGACATGCCCAAGATGCCGTTCCCCCAGATTGTTGAACATCAAGCTTCCAGGTTTCATCACTAGGGAAGACCAATCGCTCCACTCCCTGGAGACACCACATGGGATTGTCACGTTGTCTTGCCACTTCCGTTTCGGAGCCGTCCAGCCTCCATCTCAGCTTTAACGAACATTGCTATCAATGGCATGGCTACTGGATCGTCACCTACCAGGCACCTACAGGAGCTTGAACCGCGCTATCGCGCAGTGGCCGTAAGAAAAAATCACACATGAGCTCCATAGAACCGGACATCGAGACGGATCCTTCTGATGTTTTTCGAGCCCCGGAGATGTCCAGGGAGAAGCCGGGCGGGACCCTCAACCCGAAAGAGGCAGAGAGAGTAGCCCATGGCTAACCGTAAGGAGCAGGCCAAGGCCAGCCCAGAAAAAGCAATCGCTAAAGGCCAATTCAGAGCTATAATACTATAAACCTTCAAGGCCAGTTCAGGTAGCGCAGGGTGGGCGCTAGACCCTAAATGAAGACCAGCCCAAACCCTGAAGACGGTGCGGGGTGGGACCTTCCCTCCCCAGGATTTGATCTGGCAGGTCCTGTCGCATCCCCGAGTGCTCCAACATCGCCGCTTTGCAGCCGCGCCGCCAAATCAGAGTAGACGAGGGGGCCAGCACTCTGAGCTGGCTGTTCATTGCCACTCTTAGTTGGCAAGCTTTGCCTATTTACATTGTGAACAAGTGGATCAAGGTGATCAAGAACTGCCCATGAGCAGACTAATCACGCCCACTCAGGCCAACATCTTCTGCATTGACGCTCAGGCCGAGCAACGCAGCCACCTCGAGCTCACAGCAATGCTGGAACGAATACTGCGACGCTTCAACTCAGCAACCGACCGCGAACACGACGAGATTTGCTCCTGCAATGTGTCCTATACATCTGAAGAGACGCCAATTCACAGAACCCTTCCCGATCGTCCTGTCCTGTCATGAAGGATACTCGCTTTCCCGTGTTCTCCAAGTCCACGAGCAAGCTCTCAACTGCACCGGCAGCAATGCCTCTGAACGAACTCTTGGCAGCACGATACCAACGCGAAGTGCGCATTATCGACTTTGCCCTACTTGACTGCGAACTGCTACCACCAGGGACACAGGCTTGCGAACGACCTGCCTGTGACAACGACAAAGAAGAGGTACTTCGTAAGCGACACATCAATGCCACCTAAACATGTTCCAGAAACTCACCAAATTTCTGAAGACTTCGGTGCAACATGTCCCAGATACACACAAGCAGGTGTGCTGCCAGGCTGCCGCCCAGCTTTAACTTTGGATGGCGCAACTTCACCCCTTTCATAAGGCCGTACACGCTCACGAGCGCACCCAAACAGCCCCAGCCAAGGCTTACACAAAGCCCATTCCAGCCTTTGCAGCCACAGGGGCGACTTGAAGGCTTGAGTATGTACAACATGCTTTTCCGGCATACGCTAGCATCTGCCGAGGAACCATGGAAATATACCTTGGCAAAGCAAGTCAGGTTCAAGTCCTGATACTGGAAACCGACCATCAGAACCTGCCGCAGCTCCTGCGAGCCGATGCCATCTAGGCAATCAGCACTTACGCCAAAAACTTGGACTTGTCAAAGCTGTGGCGCAGATCCAGGTACAGCGGCAAGAACCAGCAAAGCGAAAAGGTTGCGTGTTACCACTACTGTCTCGACCATTGCTCGGCAGGCCAATTTGCTGTCTCGCACAAGAATCGATGCAAAATATGTGGGTTTCAACCCTGTTCATCAGGAGCTCGAGTAGGGCGAAGGTGGGCTTGGGAAACTGGGAAGCTCAGCCAAAAATCTTGACAAAATGATTTTGCAATTCTCCCTAAGTTGTTACCCTGAGTCAGATGTAGATAGGCACCGTCACACTGCACGTCAACGTCTTTGAGCTGCAACATGGCTGCAACCTTTCATGTTCGTCTTTTATGCCCTACGAAAGAACCCGCGGCACAGCTGAGGTCAAGATCCGGACAGTCGGTGTGCCACAGCGCCCACAACGCCATTGCAAGGCCGTCCATGCCTCGTCCCAACACGGTTCGAGAGTTAATTGCTTTATTTTTTGGTTCTCCTGCCTGTGCCAAAGCCTCTGCAACTTTTGTCCTTTAAACTCACGTTGTTCACGCTTTTTCACACTTCGTCTAACCCCCCGCATCGTGTTATTTACAGCGCATGGTGCCAATTTGGTCCCCGCATCTTATTATTTACACAGGATTCTCGCCGCGCGAGGCCCATTGGGAAGCTGCTGAGGCCGAGGCTGGCTGTAAACTCCAGCAACTGCGATTCTTCAGAAGCTTGCACCGATGTGAAAAATGTTGTCATTTACCGCATCTTCGCATATTCATTCGCGAATATGCTTCCAGCTGTTCACGTTCATCATATATCTTAAGCACGCCCCAGCATTTGGCAATTCCGTTTCATCATATTTCTTAAACACGCCCCCTCATTTGACGACTCTGGGCCATCATAGCTCTTAAACGCGCCCCCTCATTTGGCGATTCCATCATATATCTTAGACACGCCCCTTCTTAAATACGTCAACACGTTTGGCGACTCCGGGTCATCATAGATCTTGAACACGCCCCCTCATTTGGCGATGCCGGTTCATCATACTTCTGGAATACCCCCTATCTTGTGGCTTCACCATATTTTCAGACACGCCCCGTCAATTGGCGATTCCGGTTCATTATATATGACTTATATGACTAGCCTGGAAGCGTAATGAAAGGGTTTCTTCCCATTCCAGTGTTCTGAGATCCCAAGATCAATAAAGGCTTGGTAGCGGCGCTAGCTCGGCGGAGCAGGGCGCAGACAACAATGAAAAGGTTTCCCTTTCCGTCACTGTTACTTCACGGGATAGTAGCGGCCTAAAAAAGGGTTGAACAGGGGGACAACAACAACAACACCACGCCCCCTCAACCTTATGAACTTGTCATGTCCCTCCCAAAAAGAGCGTTTGAAGCGAAAGTCTAAGGATCCACGTACTCATACAGTGCATATGTTGGCCTTAAAGTAGTCCGTATGTGGGCACTTTGGGCTCAAAATAAATTTGGGTACATGGAAACAGCCTGTTGGGGTGAGCAGGGGGGACCACACCTGCTCGGAACCCCGGTATCTGACGTCAGGGCTAGGGTTTAGGGCTTCTGCACGCCCCCCCTCATCTGGCGATTCCGGTTCATCATATATCTTAAACTCATCGCGCAGGCTCTGCCGTCCGAGACGAGTTGGGGTGAAACTGAGCAACATGCAGTGATTAAGCTAGCCAGAAAAAGCTAGAAGAGACGAGACCTCAGCCCTATAGGCGAGGTGGGAAAGTAGGTGGCCGTGGCCTCACCTCCGTATTGAAGGTAACTACCCCACTCACCTCCTGGGAGGGTCTGCGTCCTACGCCTCTTTCAGAATACTAGCCTCAGAACACGAGCATGACGAGGGCTCACAAGCAATCGATGTCTGCAGGTCCTGTATCCAAGTTTGCAGTTCCAGCTGGTGTGCTGGGTCCAGCAAAGACCAGCCGAAACGCACCATGTCCCGAGGCCGGAGACATTGCAATTCCTTCATCAAGACTTCCAGGACCGGCCCATAATGATCCAATCCTAGGCTGCCTCCAAGCTTAGCTGAAGGCGAGACCTCAGCTGTGCCAGGATGTCACTTCCCGGTGGCAGCAGACTGGTTCCAAGGTCTAGCCACCAGGCAAGGTCATTGTCCTCCATAGTCGAGCTGAGATTGATATTGGGAAAGGTGTAAGTTGTGTTGAGGGCCTCTTTCAGGTGACGAGGCAGACTGCTCTGCCGTAGTCCGTACAGATCCTGTGGGCGGTCCTCTCTGTGGACATGCCTAAACTCCCGGAGCCTCGTAGGCAACTGGCCCAGCGGGTAGGCTTCCGAGAAGTGCTGCTGCAGGTAATGCATTCAAAGATCCACAAGGATCCTTCTCACCGCGACTGGCCAAAGATGCATGAAATTCTCCTCCGCATCCTCTTCCATGACCGGCCGTGGGGCTGTTGTGACTACCTCACCTAGAATCATGCACCACAACATTCAACCCAGAAACGAGGGCCAGGCCTGCAAACACGGGCCCACACTAGAAAGCATGGCTCTCCTGGGGAAGAATTGCATCTGCTCTTACCTCCAGCAGCAGCTTAGCACTCTGTTTTACAACCACAGGCCGGTTTCACGGCCATTCAAGGCCTCCTTGCGGTTGCGTCCAGCCTCACCAGGGACATAGCCATGGTTGCTTCATATATCTTAAACACGCCCCCTCATGTGGCTTTTATGATGCCGGTGCGGCCGGCCCCCCCTCCGCCCCTCCAATGGTTCCCGGTGTGGTTGTGGGTTGCTTCCCCGCTCCCTGTGGGTGGTGTGGTTCGGGGTTGGGTCTGGTTGGGGTGGTTGCCGCCTTCCCCCCTCTGACGTGGTGTGGGTTTGGGTTTGCTTGTGCTGGGTCACCCCTGCGTGTTTAGGTCTGCTTGGGGACGAAATCCTCGTGACATTTGACCGTTTTGGAGCCGCCATATGGGAGTTTCCGAAAATAACGGGTACCTTATTTTGGGGCCCTTATAATAAGGATCCAACTATTTAGGGTACTATATTAGCCCTGCGGTGTGGTGTGGTTCGCGGTTTGGGTCGCCCTGGGTGTTTCGAAATCTTCTTCTTCTTCCACCACAGCAGGAGGTCGTCCGGCTAGTGAGCGCTCAAGAACGAACTGTTGTCGCCCTCGGCCACTTTTAGTGGCTACAGCACGTGTGCCCGTAGGCGGATGGCCAGCGTCGAGACGCCGTAAAAGGGTAATTAAATAATTGGTCTCACTCATCACTCATCTAGCTCATCAAGAAAGCTCTTTCTCCTTCCCTGCCCTGCTGCCTGGGTCGCTCCCAGCGTCTGCAGCTGAGCATCGATTTCCGATTGACGTAGCATACACAGGTGCAGCGAGTGGTTGACCCTGAAAAACTGCTTGTTCAGCGCATCCAGGCGCTTGCAGACAATGGCCACGTCCTTCGCTAGCACGTTGATCTGGTTCTGAAGGTAGGCAGTCTGTATATGCAGCTGTCTTTCGGTTGCCATGGGCGTTGTCATGGCATGCATGCGAAGAGCTGCTGGCTAGTGATTCCCGAACTGATGAGCTGAGCAGCTGGTTGCCATGCACACAGTCGGATTTGACCAGCAGCAGCACATACACGTTTTTTGCAGCATGCTCAAGTTGCAAGGTGTCCGCTTTGGCTCTCATTTTGTCATCATCAAGAAGCCAGTACCCCGTTCCCCCGCTCTCGCTCACCAAGCTGGTGTAGTGACCTCCGGACAAATTGTTTCCATGGTGAACGATGCACGCAACATGAGTGTACTCGATCCATTGAGTATCCAAGCTTAGCGCCCCATTAAACACAGGAAGCAGCAGCTTGCGTGGCAGCTCGAAGTGATCAAGGCGTTTCCTGGGTACCCCGCGGGCGAGCACACTACGCGGAAGCTGCAAAAAGAGCCCGGGCACCGATTCCTCCAGGGCATGTGTGGATGGAGGTTCAGACACCTGCTGCGACCAATCGTTGGTGAGCAGCTGAATGTCACAGCTTCTCGGCACCATGTTTTGCAGTGAGAGACACTGACTGAGGCGGCCTTCATCTATGTAGGTGAGCTGACCATCAATCTGTCCTCGTTCATGCCAGCACGATTGTGCACGGGTGGTGTCAAGTCGTGGGATTATGAAATCAAGGAATTCACCTACATCATGCTGAGCATTGGGCTGTTTCCACCCCAAAAGCTTCAGTCCCAAGAGCTGCTTGGCTCGCAGGCTTGCATTCAGCCTGGCATGGAAATTTGCCGGCAGCAAAGCAACCCTAAGGATATTTTCAAGGATGGCTATGCAGTAGATGCCGGCATTGATGTAGCAGAAGTTACCCGGATGACTGAGAAGGAAGTGTGGGAGATGGTCAGGGGTAGGATTACTCTGATGTGCTATGGGGTGAGGTTCGGCCGGGGCTTGAGGGTTTATCGGTTTATCAGGTGGGCTTTGTGGTGCATGGGATGCAGGCTGCGCCTTGGCTTTGAAGTAATGTCGGATGCCCTTACCTACGGAGCTGCACAGATTAACAGGCTGGGGTTGCGACGGTAGATCTCCTGCGCCAGCAGCTTCGCCATGTGCTGCTGCGGGATGTCGTCCCGTTTCATCGACATTCCCACCAAGCCCGTCAAAGCACTGCCCTGTAGAGTCCCGAAGCCGCTGCGCGCGTCGTCTGCGGATGGATGCCTCAGCGAAATGATCAGCGAGAATGCCGCCTGCTGGTGTCCTTCTTCCTCGATGCGGTTGAGGGCTTGCGTCGATTGGAAACGATGCACTATCTCTCCACTCATCTGATTCTGCAGCTCCGTGATGGTGCGGATGGCATTCTCGTGAGTGAGAGGCTCCCGTTTGGGATCCGGAAGCAGGCGGCGTTGCTGCTGATTCCATTTCATGTAGTTCCAATGTCCTTCCTTGGTCATCCATTGGGCTTGTTGGAGACTGGCACGACCTTCCTCCGTGGCTGCAACCTGCTGGGTCCTCTGCAACAGCTCCTTGAGGAGACAGTTCAGAAGGAGTGTTCTGAGAGGCGAGCTCACCTCTGTTGAGCCGGCCGCCTGCTTCTCGCGGTTGACTCGAGCCACTTCCATGAGGGCTGGCAGCATACTCCGCTCGTCTTGCCTGAAGAAAAGCATGTACCCCATGTCCTTGCGCAGATTGGCCAAAAAGGCTTCGTGCTTTAGGAGCAATTTCCCCATCATCTGAACTGTATTGTCTTGCAGCGTAGTCTGAGGCGCCTGGTAGTGCTGCTGTTGGTAGTGGTACGGAGGCGCTTGGTAGTGCTGTTGCTGGTAGTGGTTCGGAGGCTGCTGTCTGTTCGATCTGCGGGGGATGGGCCACTGTCGCTGTCTCTTCTGACCCGTCATGGGAGCCCCCATGGAAGCTTCGTTCTGCACTGGTGGTCCCGCTGAGCTCTGGCCGAACGGCATGCAGTGTTTGAAGATCTCGGCTTCCATGGCTGCCTGGGACATGTTG